ACTATCCGAAATAAAGCTCATGCCAATGGCCTAAGTGGTCACCTTTAATATTAAAAAAAAAAAAAAAAAAAAAAAAATCTTAACTTCTACTAAAAATAAATAAATAAAAATTATTACTTTTACCAAAAAGAATTTTTCAAAATTAATATAGTAAATATCAATTTTCTTGTATATAAATCATTTTTCTATATTTTATATTATATATTTATATAAATGTATTAATATAAAAAATTATTAAATTTTCTATATATATTGTAACACAATATTAATAGCTATATTTTTAATATTTTTATTAACAATAAATTTAAAAACAAATAATTTAATATAATATATTCTGTAATAAACCTAACAAATATAACTTATATAAAAAATTTTTTAAATTTTTAAGCAAAATGTATTAAAGCTTTTTTCTAATAAATATTTTGGATTTTCTTGAACTTTGAGCAAAAATAACTCAATAACTACAAATCAAATTTAATAAAGTTTTTTTACAAATTTGTGAAATACACTAAAATCCTGATTAGTTAAATTGAAATTGATTAATATTGCTTAAAAACACTAAAAATTTTACTAAAAAACTATAGCATTTACTATATAAAAAACGTCTAGCTAATAATTTTCTATAAAATTTGCTAACTACTAGAGCAAATGCCAAAAATATATCTGTCAAAATTGGATAGCAATAAGGTACTACACAAATTTTCTTTGGATTGATTAGTAGTACAACCAAAATTTAGCAGATCGGCCCAAATTTAGGGTCAGAATAGGCTGGACTTTGTTGGCATTAAGCTATAATACTGGCTAACCATACTATAGCAAAATCAGCAGCTAAGCAGTTTTAATTAATATATAGGCTGCCAGTTTATTAGTAACAATTTAGAAGAATTTAGAAAGATTTATCAATTCCAGCCTATTTCGACCCTAAATTCGCTGAATTTTGGTTGTGCTACTAGTCTAACCGTCATATAACGATAATAATAATTTATTGCAATCCCGGTCATCCGATCGGGAATAGCAGTGATGATCATACAATGCACAAATATGGAATGCCGATCAGATACGTTACAAATACTAAAAAAGGTTATATTGTTGCAATTTTTTTCTATTAAACTTTTTTAGTACTGTTCGGCGTGCTACAAAAAGTCATAAGAGATTTTTATCCAATCAGATGCCGAGAATCGCACACACACATTAACTTGCCTGTAAACCATACACTACGTACTTTGTACTCTGTTCCTGGTATTATTATATAAATACAATAAATTAATCAATCAGATTAATATATACTAATATAATATATATATAGTAAATATATAGTCCTTTAGAACCATGCTAAGCTCTACGAATTAACTTTTATTAGATTATTGAAAAGTTAGCAAATTTATTTATGAAATATATATAGCTTTAGAATTATTTTTATAGAAAAATCCTATTTATATTATATATGTAAATTACATGCTTATAACTTACATTAAAAAATTAAAAATTGCTGTAAATTTATAACCCTAGTTCCAATTCTGATAAATCCGTCATCTGTTTATCCGTAGCTGATTATCCTGATTATTCAAATCACACAGATATCCGGATAATCCGAGGGTATTCGGATAATTATCCGGATATCAATAGTGAATGGATATAAAATGGATATCCGAATAAATTCTAATCCGGGTATCCGATGGATAACAAACGGATAATGGATAGGGACAGTTCTATACGCAGTAATTTCATATACACTGATTTTCTGTTCCAATTTTAGCTTTAAAACTGCTATTGCTACCGTTATTATATCAACAACGCTTCAGTATAATGTATGTGCATATGTACTAAACTATATTACATACAAATATCTAAATTATCACAACAATCAAAATTTGATTAATCATCGATATTTACATATAAAAAATCGTTTCAGCCGATTTTCTGTGAAAGAACCCATATCTATTATTGTCACTATATGTCAGAAATAGATTCATGAGTGGACAGAGGTAATTTTCCTAAATTCTGATTTTACACATACAGTATATCCAGATCGGATCTAATGATTAAATCCGGATACGTACAGTACGTACGTATGAATGTTTTTAGGTTCATACTCCTTTATGACCCTGTAATAGTTAACACTGCATGAATGCGCATGAAAATGATGTGTAATTTTCACAGGATCTTACAAAAAACCATTACGTTCAAAAAAATTTAGGGCTGTCCTAAAGATTTTTCTGTACCCTCAATCCTAGTAAGGAAATAACGTAATATGTTATCAGTATATCAACCAGTTTTCTGCAGCCGAGAATTCACGGCTAAAAATCATATGGCAACTCAATGCAACTTAGTTACTTCAAAAAAACTTAATAATTTAATTAAGATTTGGACACGAAGTTTTTTGGCTGAAATTCGGATATTAAAAAGTTTCACAGGGTGTGAATATGCAAAATTTACTTACATAGGTAATAGAACAAACGCTATCTGAACTTTATCAAGACATTAATGGAAGTTTTTATTATGAAATACCCGTCTTTATTGCTGTATTATAGTTCATTAAACTAAAATAATTTTTTTTTAAAGATAACAAACAATTTAAATAATAAATTTTCAAAAGCGACTGCAAGATTATAGAGACATATTAACAATTCTAAATACCTTCATCAAGCGTACCCATCATTGAGTACGTTCTTTGATGCGGATATCTGACGTTTCCCTAATAAAATATATATCTCGGAATCATTCTGAAATTATTCTATTTTTTTATTCGGAAATTTCGACTCCGTTTTGATATTATACGTTTTTATACGGTAATCATGATAATCATTCAATGAAAAATTCTATTTTACATACAAACATCGTAATGAAATAACATCGGAAAATCGACTCCATTATATTTTATATAGGGAATGGTAATCAAATTTAGCAGTAAATGACAAAAAAGGGACCCACCGCAAAAGGTGGCTTCGGGCAAACCAATCAGGTTTTGAGATTTTAAATAATAATAGATATCTTTATAAAAAAAGTTTTTAATTGTATATTAATAAAAAAGTGTACAATATAGCTTAGCTAATTTTGACTGTGATTTTCTCAAAATCACATGATTGTCCCTAAGCGGGTTCCCCAAATGTTATGCCTAATATAAAAAATTATATATATGACATATATTCAATTTATCTAACTTGGTAAGATACGTAAAAGTTTGACATAAAATAAAAATGAAGTTTTTTTTAATATTTCTTTGCCTATTCATAATATCAACGAAATCACAAAACACAAATTCCAATTACACGACTTTTAATTACACAGAGAGTACATCAGGAACTGCATTCCCTCACAGTCAACCTCTTGTATTAAACGTTAATACTTACGATGATGGAACAATACTCGTTCTCATTGCACGTGCACAAAATGATTCAGTACAAGATAACTCTTGTTCAGGATTGAAATTAGAACCGACATTGCGTATAAGAATTATTAAAGTAGATGGAACTGTTATTGAAATTAATTACCGTTACATCCTTGATCCTCTGAATTTTTGTATAATTAATGATACATCTGGCAATCAATTAGTTCCTATTACAGTATATGCTTTATATGAACCGTTCTTTCTAGTAAATTATGTGAAAGCTGCAAATTCATCTGACCCTACAACTTATGAGGAATGGGGGCAAGTCATAGATTGGGATGGCAAAAATAGAAGGTTCGAAATGACTATAATTTACTGTATGCTATAAATATTTATAGTTATTTCATAATCATTTTGTAAATTACCAGTGAAATACATTATGGCTCATCTCATATTAATCATAACAACTCTTGGGATCCACAAAGTGCAATTCAATTAAACGTGAATAAGAAACGCGGATTTCTTAGATTGGGTACTACAAGAAATAGCAATTTTAAATGGAATTTATGGCAACAGTATTCAATGTAATATTTAACTTTCCTAAAATCTCAGTCATTATTATTTTAATTATAATCATTTTAACCATAATAATCTTCATATAGCGATGATTTTGGAACGTTATCATTGCTGCAAAATAGTAGTATTTCAATTGTTCCAATAGATTCAATCTCTTCCCAGAGCACTATAATGCCAACTATTGATGGTGGCTATGCTGTATTGAGTGTCAATTCTTCAGATAATAACGGCAATGATTCATTACTAGCCACACGGGGTGGGCTATATGCGACCTTTTTATCCTACAACCAGTCAATTCCATCTACGCAAGCTCTCCTCTACCAATTTACTTTTCCCAATATCAGTTTTAACGGACTTTATTGTGACGTAGCACCCAAAGGAATTGGTTATAGATGCTTAATTGCCGTGAGAGCAAACAATTCGGAATTAGATTATATAATTGTTAATTTTTTAACCTCTGAATCGGTGGTATCAGTCGGTATAATGCCTAATAACATAACTGGTCTGCCGAGTTGGGGAATGCAAGCAATGCCACTCGGTGGTTATATATTATATACAGTGCTTAATAATAATTATTATATTTACCCTTTTGACAGTGCTGACAATCCTTTGAATCCACTGGGACCTTTTATTGCAAATTCTTTCGCTACAAATTTTATTGTGGATGGTTATAATCCAAATAATCTTAATGCTGCAAATTCTATTATGAAGAGTAATAACACTTTTATACTAGCTTCGCCTGAAACAAATGATGAAAAATCTTCTTGGTCTCTTCTCATTATTAAGTTACCTAACGTTTTTAAAGGTATATTTTATTATACATGAAAATCTGCATTTATTGCATACAAAATATTTAATAATTTATGATGGTGATATTTAGATTCTGGTTACGGTAATCTTCAAATAACCCAGATATTTCCACCCGTCCATAGCACTGTTGATTCATCGACAACTACTTTAAACATTACCTTTAACAACACTGTTGTTCCGTCAATCGGTTCTATCTCCATCTATAAATCTTCTGATCATAGCTTGAGACAAAGTTTTCAGGCAATAAGTAATGATTTCGTCAAATTAATGGATGATAATAAAACAGTCAACATAAAAATCATCGGCAGCACATTTAATCAGTTCAATGAAACTTATTATCTGCAAATGGACGCCAATTTTGTCAAAGATGAACAGCTCTACGAACCATTAACTGGAATTGATGAGGGGATTGTGGCGTATACTTCGAGTAAATCCTTTTGGCATTATTTACTTATTTATTTATTTATTTTTATGTTTATTAATAATACCTATTTTTTTCATATATATTTATAAATTAGAATATAAGGCACC